CTCAAACTGTATACTACGGAAGCTACAGAAATCAAAACAGATGGTATTGGCATAAAAACAGAACAAAGATCAATGGAACAGGATAGAGATCCTAGAAATAAGTCCACACATACATAGTCAATCTATAACAAAGAAGGCCAGAAAATAAAATGGGAAAGAGACAGTTTCTTCAATAAATGGTGTTGGGAAAACTGGACAGCTACATGCAACAGAATGAAACTGGATCACTTTCTTACACCATACACAAACATAAACTGAAAATAGAAGACTTAAATATAAGACCTAAAACCATAAAATTCCTAAAGGAAAACACAGGCAATAAATTCTGGACATCGTCTTAGCAGTATTTTTTGTATCTGTCTCATCAAGCAACAGACAAAATAAACAACTTGAACCACATCAAACTGAAAAAGCTTTTGCACAATAAAGGAATCTATCAAAGGAATCTGCTGAATGTGAGAAGGTATCTCTAAGTGATATATCAGATAAGGTGTTAATGTCCAAAATATATATATGCAACCCCACATGAAAAAACAAACAAACAAAAAAAACAACAATAAACAATCCAATTAAAAAATGGGCAGAGGGGTGCCTGGGTGGCTCAGTTGTTAAGCATCTGCCTTTGGCTCAGGTCATGATCCCAGAGTCCTGGGATTGAGACCCACATCCGGCTCCCTTCTGGGTGGGAGGCCTGCTTCTCCCTCTCCCACTCCTCCTGCTTATGTTCCCTCTCTCTCTGTGTCTCTATCAAATAAATAATCTTTTTTTTAAAGTGTGCAGAGGATTTCAATACATTTTTCCAAAGAAGACATATAGTTAACAGATACATGAAAAAACGTTCAATTTCACTAACCATCAGGGAAATACAAATCAAAGCAACAAAATCACCTTACACCAGACAGAATGGCTAGTAAGAAGACAAGAAATAAAAAGTGTTGGCAAGAATGTGGAGAAAAAGGAACCCTATGCACTATTGGTGGGATTGTAAATTGGTACAGCCACTGTGGAAAACAGTAAGGAAGGTCCTCAAAAAAATTAAAATATAAAATACCAAACAATCCACTAATTCCACCTCTGGGTATTTACCCAAAGAAACAAACCCACAATTTGAAAAGATATGCACCTCGATTTTTATTTCAGCATTATTTATAACAGCCAAGATATGGTAGCAACCTAAGTATCCATCCATAGATGGTTAAAAAAAAAAAAAAAAAGATGTGGTATACACATACGTACACAGGAATATTGCTCAGCCATGGGAAAGAATGAGATCTTGCCATATGCAACAATATGGATGGACCTAGAGGATATCATGCTAAGTAAATTAAGTCAGAGAAAGATTAACACCATATGATTTCATCTATACATGGAATCTAAAAAAAACCCCAAAAACAAAGAATACACTGGTGGTTGTTAGAAGGGTGAGGGGTTCAGGGATGGAAAAAAGGGTGAAGAGGAATGGTTGGTATAGGCTTTCAATTATGGAATAAGTCACAGGAGATGAAATCTATAGCACAGAAAATATACTTAATGGTATTTTAACAGTGTTGTATGTTGACAGATAGTAGCTATGTGTGTGAGCATAGAAGAACATACAGGCTTCTGGAATCATTACTTGTACCCCTGAAACTAATGTAACATTTACACTCCAATTAAAAAAAAAAAAAAACCTACAGTGTAATAAAATTTTTAAAAAATACTGATCGTCCAAAAAAACGAAATCTTGCCATTTGCAATGACATGGATGGAACTAGAAGGTATTATGCTAAGGAAAATAAGTCAGAGAAAGACAATTATCATATGATCTCTCTGATATGAGGATCTGGAGGCAGGGCAGGGGTTCGTGGAGGGGAAGGGAGGAGAAAAAAAATGGGACCAGAGAGGTGGACAAACCCTAAGACACTGTTAACCTCAGGAAACAAAGTGAGGGCTGCTGGGGGGTGGTGGGAGGGAGGGATGGGGTGGCTGGATGATGGACACTGGGGTGGGTATATGCTATGGTGAGTGCTGAGAGTTGTGTAAGACTGATGATTCACAGACCTGTACCCCTGGGGCAAATAATACATTTTATTTTAATATAAATAAATAAACTGATGGTCAACTAATTTTCTTTTCACAGAGTTCTTAACATTTAAAATACAGATAAGGGCGCTTGGGTGACTCAATGGGTTAAACCTCTGCCTTTGGCTGAGGTCATGATCTCAGGGTCCCGCAAATCATGTCCTACATTGGGCTCTCTGCTCAGCAGGAAGCCTACTTCCTGCCTTCCCCCGCCCCCCACGCCTGCCTGCCTCTCTGCCTACTTGTGATCTCTCTGTCAAATAAATAAATAAAATCTTAAAAAAATATAAATAAATAAAATACAGATGACTGGGACACCAGGCTGGCTCTATTATTATGGCATGCAACCCTCAGAGCTCTAAGTTCGAGCCCCTCACTGGTGCAAAGATTACTTAAAAATTCAATCTTAAAAACAATAAAGATGTATTTTAACATAAATTAGTACAGATGACCAAAAAGTTTTGAAACAGTGGGTAAATATTTTAAATTAAGAAGTTCTGAATATTGGGGCATCTGGGTGGCTCAGTCTTTAAGTGTCTGCCTTTGGCTCAGGTCCTGATCCCAGGCTCCTGGGATCCAGCCCCACATCGAGCCCCTCATCAGGCTCCCTGCTCAGCAGGAAGCCTGCTTGTCCCTCTCCCACTCCCCTTGCTTGTGTTCCCTTTCTCTGTGTCTCTCTCTGCCAAATAAATAAATTTTAAAAATCTTAAAAAAAAAGAGAGAAGAAACTGACATTTACCAGCACTTCAGAACCACTCTGTCTTTTCATCCCCTCTTTTTAGGCGATTAATGTTTTTCTCTTTTCCTTGCCTTACATCCGTAAATTCAACAGTTACCCAAATCTATTTCCTCTATACCCCCAGGTCAAGCCACTTATCTTTTCACATCTCAAGTAAAGCCATCTTTGATAGTGCCCAGCTCACTTTTACTATGAGATGATTACAATCAGTGAGTCACGGTTTTGCTCAAGTTCAAACTCCTTAAACTTGGCCCACAAAGTACTTCACATATGAGTCTAACTTTATTTCTAGACTTCTGAATTAATCCCCTACAATAGGAATCCTAAACTCCAATTTAACTGGTTTTCCCTATTGTCCTCTGAAAAAGCTCAGCTGTCTTTTTCTAGTTCTTTATTCCTCTAACATTATTTGGAAGAAGATACTGTCTTAGAAATAGTATAAGACTGAGAAGATAAGGGATACAGTTGTCAATATAAATAGCCAGTACATGCTAAATGCCAAAGGAATTAGAGACTAGGGGCACCTGGATGGCTCAGCTGGTTAAGCATCTGCCTTTGACTCAGGCCATGATCTCTGCAGGGAGTCTGCTTCTCCCTCTGCTCTCCATTTCTGTGCTAGCTCTCTCTCCAGTGCTCTTTCTCTCAAAATAAATAAAATCTTAAAAAGGGGGGGGGGTAGAGACTATTTACAGAAATTGTAAACACTTGTATTTACTGATCTACATTTACATACTTTGATTTTTAACTTAAAATTCAATTGCACTAACCTTTTACTGTTTGAAAGAAACATATGTACTCATAAATTCCAGGGTTTTTTTCTCCCATTATAGATTTATAGCTCAATAGAAATTATCCACAGCAGTTACAATTACTCCATTAATTCTTAGGAAATTTAATTATGGTTAAAAGAGAAAGAACTTGGCACTGACCAAGGTTAATATCCTAAACCCAATCCCCCAGCCCCCGATTTCCCCCTTATTTACACCAGTGTGAAATTACGCAAATTGCTTAGTCCCCCTTTTCCTTCATCTGTAAAACTGGATAACACCTACTTCACAAGGCTGTTGTGAAAATTAAATGAACAGGTGGAAAAATTTCACAGAGCTTCATACATACCAAGAGCCATATAAACAGAAATTATCAAAATTATTATTACTGCTCAAAAGCAACACTGCCACTGCCAAGACTAGATTGTTTGGAACCTTCATTTTTAATGATTTTGAAAAACCTGAGCATAGGGCAGTGAAACTGCACTGTGGGAGAACTGCCCGCATTCTTATAGAGCAAACTAAATTTGCGCCGTCTACACATTCACGTTTTCCTTACTTTACTCAATCCCTCTAGAAGGCAAATGATTAGAAAAATAGTATAATTGCTGACTATGACAAAGTCGTAGAAATACCTAACAGAGATTAAATGCCTGGGATTTGCTTGAAAATAACCTGTGGAGAGGGAGCAGCCCCCCCCCCAAATGTTGACAATTGTTAAAACTGGGTGAAGGATTCGCCAAGTTCCTCTCAACCTCTGTACGTTTGAAGATCTCCATAATAAAACGTATTTTTAAATGTCTAAAGGTCGATTTTTTCTGTGGGGCTTAACGCGACTAGTTACGTTCAGGAAGCTACACTGGGAACCATTGGGAGGCAAAAAGTAAAACAGCAACACAAGCCAGGTGAGACTGGTTAAGCCTCCCAGGCGACCAGCAGGCGTGCGTCTCCTCCCAAAGTCCACAAGGCCCGGCCCCAAGGCGCACCCGCGGAGTCCCGCCGGTCTAACCCCGGATAAGAGCGCAACGCCCAAGGCCTTCCTGGGACCGCCGCCTGGCGGCTAGCGAGAGACGTGTGGACTCGGAAAAAATGGGCCTAAGGGCCGGGGGAGAGGGGGGAGAGGGGGGAGAGGGGGGAGATGTGGGTGGGTGAGTCCCAGCCTTCAGGGAGTCAGCCGACTTCTCCCCGCTCCACCGGAGCTCCAGCCCCAGCAAAGCCCTCGGCCACCCCGGCTGCCCGAGAACATCTCCGCCTCCCTTCATCCACCGCACAGAATCCCAAACGGCCCACGGAGCCCGCCGTCTTCCCCGCATGCCCGAAACGCGGACTCCTTCAGCTTCGACTTTGTTACCAGGGATTCCCACCACCCTCAGGCATGGTGGGCCTCTTCGAAACCCCCTCCAACCGCTTTCTGGGTCCCTAGCCCCACTTACCTCGGCCGCGCGGCAGCCAGGTGCCTTCTTGAGCTTCTCCGGCTTCCAGCTTGGCTCTCCCGGGGAGTTACTGCCAATCACCCAGCCTCCGCCCCAAATCCGGACGAGATTGACCAATCAGCTGCTTCTTACGGCCCGGAGGCGGGTACTGAGAGCCCGGACAGGACGAGAGACGACCCGCCCACAGGCCTGCAGCACCCTCTCACTGTGAATGTGCGCAAGCGCGGTGCTTGGCTAGAGGCGGGCGCTTTCGCGTGGACTTCGCTTTGTGTCTTCACTGCTCTGCCCTGGAAAGTACCTTGTTAGTAAACCCCGCTCTCTAAGTGTGTAGCAAGACCCGCATTCTGAACGTAGCCACAAGTGTGTATTACCTTGAAAGAAGCTAGGAGTTCTAAGCCCTTGTTAACCTGACTTGTGTTGAGTCCTTTTATCCCACGCTATTGAGACTTGTGTTTATCCGGCAGATCTTCCCACGTGAACTTAATATCCCGGGCGTGTTTGTGTTGAGGGGAGTTGAGGGTGCGGAGTGTACAAAGAGCATGGATGACGATTTTACCGTCCTCATTTCCGTCTGTTTAGTCTGATTCGTGGGCCGCATGTTTTTTTTTTAATAGTTGAATATTCTGGGACACTAGATTTCAAATAATCCTACCATGAAAATGATCATTACATCTATAGCTAACAATATATTCAGCATGGTAACGTGTGTAGGCCCAACTCGAAATTCATTTGTAGAGAGAAAAGCCTGCTTAAGTATTTCTGTATGGCCTTTAAAGAGGCTGTTGTTGATTGGCTGTCGCTGATTGGCTGTCTCTCTTACTCTCCCTTTGTGATTGATCCCACAGGTCACTCAGCAGGCAGCAGAGCCATGGTGGTTTTTATTCCCGGTGCCCAAGTCTCTTCAGGGTGAGGGCTTCCCGACTTCAGCAAGAGCATTAATCCATTTGGGAGCCCATTATGACAGTACAAAGATTTTTAAAAGCCTTGAACCACGCCCTCAGGAAGCCTCCGGGCTAACAGGAAGACAGAAACACAAACTTACTTAACCAAATGTTCTCATGGAGGAATAGTGGAATCCTGGGAGACCTGCCTAAGCTAGCCCAAAGGCTCAGGGGAACGCTTACTAGAGGTGTGCTTGGGCTGAGGCTTGATGATTAGCTTCTGAGCTAAAGGAGTGGAAGCAAAGGATAACATTTCTGGCAAAGTTTACTTGTTGAGATCTTTAAAGGGTGGATTTACTGCGAAGCTAATGAAGCTTGCGCTCAGACCCCCTGACTTGCACCAGACCTTTCCAAGACCCAAGGGGGGGACCCCTAGCACTGAGTTCACATGGTCATGTGTTGTCTTCTACTCTTTAAAAGGAAGATGGCTTAAAGCAACCTTCAAACAGATTAGTTAAGTGCTTTTTTTTTTCCCCATCCCAGCTTCCTTTTCTTCACATTTCTCTGCAGGCTAAGTGCCCTCCAGTGACCCTGGGCATTTTGAGGATCTGGGTGAGGGGAAAAGCATTGAGTTGAATTTAGCTTCCTTTTGTGATTAGTTATTATGGACTCTCACACTGTTGTAATGTCTTCCCAGAATATTCCTAGCCATACTATATGCCATCTCACAGAGGGCCTATGGATGTGTCTTAAGGCACTTGGCACCAGAAGTATGTGGCTCGTGGAGGAGAAAGGATGGAAAATGTGTTGAGACAGAAACTAGGAGAAGATCTTCCAGTCATTGTACTTGAAGTTATAATCAGGGTGCTTCACTTTTTCCCTTCAGTAAGCTTTATTTTAGAATAATTTTAGACTTACAGAAATGTTGCAAAGATTGTTCAGAATTCCTGTTTACCCCTCACCCAATTTCACCTAATGCTAACATCATGCATTACCATGATGCATTTATAAAATTAAGGAGCCAACATTGGCACATTACTATTTACTAAACTCCAGTCTTTATTCAGGTTTTATTAATGTCCTTTCTCTGTTCCAGGATTGTATCCAAGATGCCACATTGCATTTAGTCATCATGCCTCCTTGCTTAGATTCCTGGTCTATGACAGTTTCTCAGTATGTCCTTGTTTTTCATAACCTTGATACAACCATGACAGTTTTGAGGAGCATGGTCAGGTATGTTATAAAATATGCCTTGATTCGAATTTGTCTGCTGTTTTTCTCATGATCAGACTGGGATTGTAAGGTTTGGGAGAAATACCACACACTGAGATGCCCTTCTCATCACATCATATCAGGGGGTACATGATGTTAGCATGATTTATTTCTGCTGATTTTAACTTGACCATGGTAGTATTTGCTAGTTTCTCTACTATAAAGTTGCATTTTTTAAAAAATATTTTATTTATTTATTTGTCAGAGAGAGAGAGAGAGAGAGCGTGAGCACAGGCAGACAGAGGCAGAGGGAGAAGCAAGCTCCCTGCTGAACAAGGAGCCAGATGTGGGACTCGATCCCAGGACGCTGGGACCATGACCTGAACCGAATGCAGCCACTTAACCAACTGAGTCACCCAGGTGTCCCTATAAAGTTGCATTTTTTACCCTCTTTCCATATTCTCCTCTTCAGAAGCAAGTCACTAAATCTTACCCACCCTTCAAGGGTCATAAGAGATTAAGCTTCAACTCCTGGAGTGGAATATCTACATAAATAACTTATCATTCTTCTCTAGGTAGGATTTGTTTCTTCTGCCCATTTACTTATTTATATTCAATCATTTATTCATAAAGAATCATGTATATTTATTTTCTATTTCACTTATATTTTCTATATACAACCTCTCAGTGGACAGAGCTAGGAATATATTATCACCTTGTTTTTTAATTCTTTGTTTACATCTCTATGATAGGTAATCTCTAAAAAGACCCCAATGATCCCTGACCCCTGGTATTCACACCCTTATGTAATCCCCTGTTAAAGAGGGTGGGTTTTACATAGTGACCTCCTTCTAATGAATCAAATAAAAGAGTTATAGGATGGCAATTATAAGATTAGTTTAAAAAGAGTGTGGCTTTCATTTTGCTTGCTCTCTCTTGGTCTCTCCTTCACTCTCTCTGAGGGAAGCCACCTGCCATATTGTGAGATGTGCTAGGGAGAGACTTATGTGGCAAGAAACTGAGGGAGGCAGCAAGCAACTGAGGCCCTCTTTTCATCAGCCTCTGAGAAACTGAATCCTGCTAACAGACATGTGAGTGAACATGGCAAAAGATCGTCTCTCAGTTGAGCCTGGAGATGACTGGACTCCACTGATACCTTGATTGCAGTCTTTTTTTTAAATTAGCATATAATGTATTATTTATTTCAGGGGTACAGGTTTGTAAATCATCAGTCTTACACAATTCACTGCACTCACCATAGCACATACCCTCCCCAACGTCCATTAGCCAGTCACCCTATCGCTCCCTGCCACCCCAGCAACATTCAGTTTGTTTCCAGGGATTAAAAGTCTCTTATGGTTTGTCTCTCTCCCTGGTCCCATCTTGTTTCATTTTTCTCTCTGTTCCCCCCATGCACCCCCGCCCTGCCTCTCAAATTCTTCGTACCAGAGAGATCATTATGATAATTGTCTTTCTCTGATTGACTTATTTCACTTAGCATAATACCCTCTAGTTCCATCCACATCATTGCAAATGGCAAGATTTCAGGAGTTTTGACGGCTGCATAGTATTCCATTGGATATATATACCACATCTTCGTTATCCATTCATCTGTTGATGGACCCTTGATTGCAGTCTTATGAGAGACTCTGAACCAGAGACCTGAGCTAAGGCACACATGGATTCTGCATGCACAGAAACTATAAGATAATAAGCAATTACTGTGTTAAGCTGCTAAGTTTTGGAGTGATTCACTAGGAAGAATAAATATCTAATACAATTTCTGTCTTCTCTGCAAGATCGATGGTTCTGAAACTCCACTTTGGATCATATGTTTAAAAATACATATGCCCAGGCCCCTTCCCTGAATCTTAGGTGATTGTTTTATGCAACTAAGTTGGAAAATTAATGTAGAAGATTACAGGGCAATCCATTTGGGGATTTTAGGAGAAAATTTTAGGACTCTCCTTTTCTATTTAGTATATCTGATCTTAGAGTTCCTCACCCAAATAAATGGCTCAGCTTACTGGGCAGAATCCAGAATAACTGAAACTTCAGTAGTTATTTATTGAAAAGAGGAGAAAGAATCGGAGTTCTCTCTTATTCACTGTGCAACCTTGAAAAAGTCCCTTGACCTTGCTGTGCCTCCAAATTCCTAAAAGATTTAAGAACTATAATGCCCCTAATTAGGCAGAGATTTATCCATCATTAAGTATATTTTAGGCAATGGAAAGGTGAACAAGGCCAGTTGTGGGCCAGCTTCCTTGCAGAAATTTACCAAAAAGGTCAGATTCCCATTTGTTTGTATTGGTAGATGGTGAAGCTGAATTCTTTTGTAGAAGGAATATGAGCTTCCAAGTCAGACAGACCCTCTGCCTTTTATCAGCCATATGGCCCTGGCCAAGTCAGTCAGCCTCCCCAGGTCTCATTTCCCTGAACTGCACAGTGGGGAAAATAGTCACCTCACAGGATAGCCCTGAAAACCGATTGTGTAACATTTGTAAAATACTCAGGATTACACCTGATTTATCACAAGGACCCAATAAATAATACCCATTTGGTGAGAAAGGCTGAATAATCTGCAAGCTTTAAACAGTATCCTCCCTGAAAATCCAGACCCTCTCTCTAGTTCAGCATTTTTTCTAGCTCCGACTGCCTGTCTATAGAAAATATAACACATTAAAATGGGCCTTAAGAGGTTCCAAGTTAGAATCCAGGAAAGCCTAACTGGCAAAAGACCCCTGGGTAGACAGTGAAGTGCCCATGTGAGGGGCATTTTAAGACAAGGTGAGGCCGGATGTGTCATTTATTAGCTAACTGGTCACCTTGAGGCATGTTTTTAAAGAAAAGCAAGTTGAATTCTTGTTTCTTAATATTTACCAGTTTTCAGAATAATTATTACACATCAACTATTTTGTTACCCTGAAATATAATACACACAAGAAAGGCAGTTTTAATGCTTGGTTTGATTCTCTCCACTTATAACATTTCCACAACAAAATCTGAGAGTTTTCCTATCCAGTATTCCTGCCAGCAACTTTGTGTCATTTTGATTTTTTGCCAATCTGATCAGCATCATGATTATTCTCACTGTTAAATTAATTTGCGTTCCTTTATTAAAGGTGGGTTTAAATATCTTCACGTTTATTGGACTTTCTCTTGATTAAATACTAATTTTTATTCTTCGCCCAATTTCTATAGGGTTGTTCAATCCTTTCTTGACAATTTGTGATAAATTTTTGACTATTGGCCTCTATCAACCCACAGAGTCACAAATTTATCCTCATATCTATTGTTCATTGACATTGCTTATGTATTTTTTTGCTACACAAAAAACTACTTTTTTTGTTTTCAAAGATTTATTTATTTATTTGAAAGACAAAGATCACAAGTAGGCAGAGAGACAGGCAGAGGGAGAGAAAGGGAAGCAGGCTCCTGGGATCATGACCTGAGCCAAAGGCAGAGGCTTTAACCCACTGAGCCACCTAGGCACCCCAACACAAAAACCTACTTTTTAGAACAAGTGGAAAAGGTCTATTTCTTTCTAACTTCTGAGTTTCTAGTCTTATTTAAGATGTCACCTACTTCTATAGTTGTATGTAGTATGTATCTTAAAGGATTTTTGGTATTTTGTTTTACACTTGAGTTTTTAATCCATCTGGAATTTAAGTTTTTTGGTAAATAATGTATATAAATACAATTTTATTTTCATTCAGATAAATAAAAGTGCTTCTATGTATAATTATTTCTCATCCTCTAAAATTTTTTTTGACATGCTTTTTAGCCTACATATTAGTTTGATAGTATGTGTATAGAATTTATGAATAAATAATACACATATATCAGAGCCATGTGCTCAAAATGTTTTTAAGCTGAAAGTGGTACTTCATCAAAGGTTTTAGAAACCGCCATACTAGACCATAAACTCCTTGAGTACAGTAATTATGTTTTCTCTTATGTTTGAATCTAGTGCTAAGACTGTCTCTAGTGTATTATATGTGTTCTGAAAATAGTTTTAAAATAATTGAATAAATGAAAACTGCCATTATCTGATTCATGGGTCTTAAGCAACACAGCTGTTGAGAAACTTGACATTCCAGCTGTGTCCTGTGGCAAGATATCGGAGGCTAAGAACAAGCAATGACTCATAACAGCAGGTAGTATAACTTTATTGGTGTCAAGTTCATACATTTTTAATATGGGAAAATAAATTCTTAAAGCCTTAAGAGACTTCATTGGGCTTGTAATCCATAGGTGCTTATGAAATGGTTAGTTATTTTTTGTGACTACAGTCCTTGCCTTTTAAGGCCAGTCATCAAACTCTCTGTAGTGCCAGTTGGTGAGGAAGAATTAATCTTCTCAATACTTTGATGTCATGGGCATGATTATATTTAATTTTACATTTTGAACTTCCAAAAGACAAAGACTCTATTAAACGTACATTCTGCCAAAAACCTATGTCATCAATTACTAGCTGGGAATTACCATTTATAAATGACAAATAGACAATTACTATTTGTGTTCTCCCTTTCTGATATACAAATTAATCTTAGAAAAAATAGCAAGTTGTAGCACCTGGATGGCTCAGTTGGTGGTGAGTTCAAGCCCCATGTTGGGCATGGAACCTACTTAAGAAGAGAAAAAGCAAGTTTACTTTCTGTGTTATTGCATTGTTTTCAATAACAATACTGAACAAAATTTCATTTACTCAATCAAACGGATTATGTTTAACCTGTGTCCTTTGGACTTCCTATATTTACTATTTTTTTTTTAAATTTTCTTTATTTATTTGGAAGTGAGAGAGAGAGCATGAGCATCGGGGAGGGGTAGAGGGAGAAGCAGGCTCCCCACTGAGCAGGGAGCCCAATGTGGGACTCGATCCCACAACCCTGGGATCACGACCTGAGCCGAAGCCAGACATTAACTGACTGAGCCACCCAGGCGCCCCTATATTTACTTTTTTACAGCTTTTTTTTCTTATGGTAAATGTATGACGATTTTCTTTTATCCCTACCCCCGCCCCCCCCAAGTTCCAGCAGTTGGTTGGTCTGGTCAGTTACTACAAATCAGGCTGGTGCTTCTACCTGGATATTATGCATCATTTCTTTTTACTTTTTGTTTTGGATTCAGTATTCACTTACCACCACTCCCTCTTCTGACTTGGGAAACAGAAACCATGCCAGAGACTTGCTTTTGCTATTGGTCAGTGTGAAAAGGGACCTTTTCTATTCCACTTTGCTCGTATTTTTCTTCTTGAGCTTGTTAGAAGGAAGAAGATAACCAAGATTACAGAGAGGCAAAGAAATTTGAGCAGAAGTAACTGTGGATTTTATTTTCTAGTTTTCTTTGAAGTATTTATTTATTTGAAGGAAAGAGAGTACAAGCAGGGGGAGTGGCAGGAAGAAGGAGAAGCAAGCTCCCGCTGAGCAGAGACATCCTGGGATCATGACCTAAGGGGAAGGCATACTCTTTTTTTTTTTTTTTGGAAGGCATACTCTTAACCCACTGAGCCGTCCAGGCGCCCCAGCTGTTTTGGATTTTAAATTCACTTAGGAATCAAAGTATTGCAGACAATTGCATAGAAAACAGTCTGGAAATTATTTTCCCCCCAAGTAAGCTCTACATCCAACTTGGGGCTTTAACTCAGGATCTGGAGAGTTGCATGCTCTATGACTGAGCAAGTTTGGCGCCCCGGGGATATTTGTTCTTATGCACTCTCTTTCCCCATTAGAGGCCTCTTAAATTCCTTGAGCTACGTGGCAAAAACAAATTGTGAAAGAGACTCTAGACCATTCAGTTAAGTTATTGGTGCAGTGGATGCATTATTCTCAGACTGGCCTGTGGAATTTAAATTACACTTATATCTAGAGAAATAGCTTTAAAAACCAAGATCTATACTTAAGCAAAACAAAACCGCCAGTGACTAGCATTGATAAAAGTATATAAATCCTTACTATTATAAACTAAATAGAAGATAATATCTAAAAAATACTTTATGACGGATTTGAGAAGATTCTAAGTCCCTTTCCCTTACAAGAAAAAAAAATCCTTCCAATAAGAAGTTATTATTTAAAATAAACAAAAAACTGTACTTCGCAGCCTTCGCGCTTAGGAACACAGTGAACACTAACAAGAAATGAACGCAATCCAAAAACCACCTAACATAGGGTTAATGTTCTTACCAAAAACTCAAAAAACTTTAATAATTAAGATTCACAAAAACGAAGAAATATCACGAAAATACTTTATTCCACCTGAAAGAGCTGCGAGAGAAAAACGTACCATTTGAATTTCCGAACGCAGGAGCAGACAGGTTACTTCAGCGCGGGAATGCTGGGAATTGTAGTCGGGGAAACTAAAACGGTTTCTCCGCCCGGATGCAAGTTTCTTCGCTCAGTGCTTCGCGGACGGACACTCGTTCGGTCCAAATCCGGAGTTCCTGTGCTCTCATTGGACCCTTCCGTTCAACACTTAGTGCATTTCCCCTAGATCACCAATGAACGCTTTAGTTTAAGAAGGTCTTCACGTACTGGGCGTTTTAGCCTCGCGTTGGAATGCTATCAGCCAATGAGAAGCCAGAACTGACAGATGTTGCAGGATCATGGGGGAGAGTCCGTACAGCCTTTCCCCGCCAGCGTCCTCGCTCTTTGGCTCCTCGAGTTAACCTGGTCGTTTGCTACCGCTGAGGCCGAGTCTGCCGACGGAGGGACCCGCTCGGCGGCTCCTGGGTCCCTCTGTCTCATTCGTTGGTGTGGCCCTGATGGTGCGCCAGGCTCCGGACTCCTGAATCTGTGGCGCGGTATGTAAGGATCTAGGGGAGGCAGACAAAGCGGTGGAGCCAGGAAGGCCGCGGAGAGCGGCCCCTGCATCAAATCTGCGAGTCGGCCTGGGCCGAAGCGCTCTCCCCTGGCCTTCCCGGGACCCAGCAGTGCGTCCCACCAAGCGCTTTAAAGCACCTTGTCCCGATATGTCCTGTAAAAATGTTAGCTTTGTTCATTTCCTCTCCATCCCCGGCACTCCGATTTTTTCGAACCCTGGCGTTAATGGCTGTCATCTCACTTCATCTCTCCAGCTTGTTCTTTGGTAGCTGTTTTGTGCACCTGCATATCTGCTAGGAGTAGAAGGACATTGTGTTTGTCACTATTCAAAAGAGATCAGCTTTCACATTCTTGTATTTTAATAACTTCTTGGAGGCCCTCGTGCACTTAGCAACTCCTTTCGTGATAGTGCTCTGATGTGTTAGGGAGATGCAGAATATACCCCAACACCTGGTGGAATAGAAGTACCACAGGATCAAGTATATAGTTCTTGTTTGGTAACTGCTGGTGCTCGCCTCAAGTTATTTTCTTGATCCTGACAACCGTTGGGGATTATTGAGAGGAAACTGAGGCTCAACTTCTCCAAGAGTTACAGTTAGTTGCTAGTAAAGTAAAGCCAGATCTGAACTCAATGCTTAGGTTATTTTTTAAAAACTTGCTTAACTGGATATGGATTTAGGTTGTGGGTGAGTACTCTCTGCAGCTCTTGTTGTAAGAGATCTGAATCATTCTTTGAACCGAATGGTAGGTTTTGGCTGAAGAATTGAAAATCATAATTATAGTCTCATATGTATCACCTAAATTCCCAGTTCCATCCAGCAGGATAGGCCTCACCTGGGAGCTTTTTGGAAATGCAGAATCTCAAGCCTCACTCCATCTGCTGAATCAGATCTGCTTTTGAACAAGATCCCTTAGATAATCAGAGTACTCCTTAAAGTTTGGGTAGCATGTATTGTCTTATGATCGATTTGTCCAAATTGAGCTAAACAAAAAGAGAAAACAGAAAGGTTTTTTCACGTTTTCCTCATTTGCTAGTGAGGCTTTGATTTTTCATTATGTCTGTATTGGCAACTTTAGCTTAGCAGCCAAAAATCTTAAAACAGAAAAGAATATTTAAAAAGTAATTAAAAGCTAACTTGTAAGTCATCAGGTATTGGTCAAAAAAATAAAATGATTGAGACAAGAGAGATTAAATAATACTGCTAACAAAATTTCAAGAACCTTCTGTTTACTTACAAAATCTGTACACAAGTTCTCCACCATAATTTCCCCCCACAATTTTCTTCTTTTGATGAAAAGCTTCCATTTTCTTTGGAAGGAGTCAGTAAATTTGCTACTGCTGGGGGTTTGCTACTACTAGTGGGGGTTTATTTTAGTTTATTTATTTGGTTATCTGGTAATGAAACCAAAACATGGTCCCAAATTTACTTAGTGTCATGTTGCATGATAATTAAAGTATTTCGTAGAATTTAAATGTTCAGGGTTTTATTCAAATGTTCCCAGCCATATTAAAAGGACACGCAGTTATCGACCACCGTTAAGTTTTAATTGTTCTTATTTGCACCAGGAATCACCTGTGTGCTTATTAAAATCATGTGTTGGGCCCTAGTGAGGTCTGGGTATGGGCCTTGGAATCTGCATTTTAATAATCCCAGCTTATGCTGATGCAGGCTGTCCAGGTCCACATTTCTTGGCATTAGTATTTTAAATAAAAAGTGAAACTATAAAGCAAGCTTCTTTTCTTTTCTTTTCTTTTTTTTTTTTTTTTTTTTGAAATATTTTATTTATTTATTTGAGAGAGACAGGGAGAACAGTAGAGGAGCACACAGAAGAGCAGACTCCCAATATGGGGCCCTATCCTGGGACACCGGGATCATGACCTGAGCTGAAGGCAGATGCTTAAAACCCACCGACCATGTAGGCACCCTGCAAGCTTATTTTGTTTGAACCTAATTTAGTACTCCTTATTAGAAGAAGAGAGTTGTTTTTGTTTTTAACTTAAGTTTTGGTTCATTGGTTGCTACAAAATTACTCAGATAAATGTATTTAAAATGTTATTTGAAAATTGTTTTGAGGGATGCCTGGATGGCTTCTTTGGTTAAGTGTTTGCCTTCTGTTCAAGTCATGATCCCAGGTCTTGGGATGGAGCCCCGAAGCTTCTCCCACTCCCTCTGCCTGCTGCTCCACCTGATTCTTCTCTCTCTCTGTCAAATAAATAAACAAAATCTTTAAAAAATATATTTTGAGATTTGCCAATTTGAGAATAAGAGAGGGTAAGATAGAATGAATACCAAAATGTATCATTTAAAAAACATTTTTTCCAGCCTAGGAAGGCTAACATTTTTATCAAACAATTTGAGTGTGTGAAAATGATACAATTAACACAAAGACTAAATGTATCTAATACATGAATTGGCGATAAAGTTCCAACTTTTGCTTACCTGATTCCATTTTCTCAACTGTTCCATAGCTATCTTATAAAAATGTCTATGTAAATTCCTCAATCCACAGAAATACTGATCATTTAACAGGATTTAGGCAATTCTCAGAAAAACTTGATTTTGGCAAGAATATTAAATAAGGAAAGAAAAATGAACTCTTAACACTGAGGAAATCTCTTAAAGTTTTACCTAAAAACTCATGTAATTTAGGGGAGAAATCATAGCTTCTTTCTACCTTTCTTGCATTCATGCCACAGGAAATGCAGTGCTTGACCACAGCTTCTGCCTCTGTTGTGTTAGGATTTTTGAAGCCTTGTGATATTCCTGACTTTTTCCTTGGAAGATCTTATTTGAGTCTTCTCCTTCTCCATGGGCTTTGAAAACTGAGAGTTTTAAATGTTTTGGCTTTTATTCATCTCAAAGGAACAAGAAAGGCCATAAGGTTTTCAGCATCATTTAAACTGAATGATTAAATGTATCTAAGGACTCTTTAGCTAAGATTGGAGCTCTCCAGTTACACAGCCAGAGGTGAATGCAAAAGGACCCCTTCCAGTATATTTGGTTCTTAAATGTAACTTGGTTCTTGGGCCTTTGAGCCAGTAATTGGTTCTTCAGGTTCCAGTTTGGATAAGATTTGTGCTGTTGAAAGCACTTTATAAAGCTCATGGATAAGGTGGTTTGTAAACAGGGATATTGAGGATATTGAAAGTAGAGGCACCTAAGAAGCAGCATGCTCCCAGACCCGTTAGTCTTATCTCTGTGCATTCAGTTTGTTGCTTTTTTTCTAAATTTTTTTAGATTTTTTTTTTAAGATTTTATTTATTTATTTGGCAGAGATCACAAGTAGGCAGAGAGGCAGACAGAGAGAAGAGGAAGCAGGTTCCCCACTGAGCAGAGAGCCTGATGTGAGGCTTAATCCCATGACCCTAGGATCATGACCCAAGCCAATGGCAGAGGCTTTAACCCACTGAGCCACCCAGGTACCCCTCTAAATTTTTTTAAATTGCCACAATATAATATTTTTATTTTTTGAAAATAACTGCCAAATACTATCTTGTTAAAGCCCTGTTTTCTGAGTCCTTTATTTTGCATTTGCTTGAATACCTAAAAAAATCTAACTAATGTATTTTATCTTGAATAGGATTTCTTTTTGCCATATTATATGAATTAAACTTGCTTAGCATTGGTTTTAAATTGCTTAGAAGTCATTCCAATACCATTTATTGAGTAATCTTACTATTTTTTTTAAAGATTTTATTTATTTGACAGATCACAAGTAGGCAGAGAGGCAGGCAGAGAAAGAGGGGGAAGCAAGCTCCCTGCTGAGCAGAGAGCCTGATGTGGGGCTCAGTGCGGGGCTCGATTCCAGAACCCTGGGATCACAAACCGAGCCGAAGGCAGAGGCTTAACACACTGAGCCACCCAGGCGCCCCATAATCTTACTATTTTTGATCGATTTTTGGTTCCATGTAACTGAACACTATTTATTGAGCATTTACAATCTGTTAAGCACCAGTCCTTTCCATGTATTTCCCTTTTATTTAGACAATACACTTTAAAAAAAAAATTTATTTATTTATTGGACAGAGAGAGATCACAAGTAAGCAGAGAGGCAGGCAGAGAGAGAGGAGGAAGCAGGCTCCCTGCTGAGCAGAGAACCCGATGCAGGGCTCCATCCCAGGACCCTGGGATCATGACCTGAACCTAAGGCAGAGGCTTTAATCCACTGAGCCACCCAGGCGCCCCTAGACAATACACTTTTTTTTTTAAATTTTTAATTTTTTAAATTTTTTAAAAATATTTTTTATTTATTTATTTGACAGAGATCACAAGTAGGCAGAGAGGCAGAGAGAGAGGAGGAAGCAGGCTCCCCGCGGAACAGAGAGCCCGATGTGGGGCTTGATCCCAGGACCCTGAGATCACGACCTGAGCCAAAGGCAGAGGCTTAACCCACTGAGCCACCCAGGCACCCCGACAATACACTTTTGATAGCTGCTATAATTAGCCCTAAGTTACAGATGAAGAAATTGAGACAAAGAGTAAGGGATTTGCACAAAATCATATTTATTACCAAGCAGTGGAGCCTTGGTCTGACTCACTGAGAGCCTGCTTTCTTATACTGAATGTGTAAGTAACTTCCCTGGGAGAAGTAATCTTTCTATTGTGCAGGCCCCCTCCCTCCCAATACCTGGTAAGGCCAGTTCTGCATTATTACCTTTTCTCCCCAAAATAGCCTTTAGTAGTCTTTCTGGAGTTACAGAAAAATTTTGTCCATCCCCTCCTTTCCTAATTGGCATTGTTTTTTGTTTTTTTTTTTTAAGATTTTATTTATTTATTTATTTGACAGAGAGAGAGAGAGAGAGATCACAAGTAGGCAGAGAGGCAGGCAGAGAGAGAGGAGGAAGCAGGCTCCCCGCTGAGGAGAGAGCCCGATGCGGGGCTTGATCCCAGGACCCTGAGATCATGACCTGAGCCGAAGGCAGAGGCTTAACCCACTGAGCCACCCAGATGCCCCGGCATTGTTTTTGATGTTGACACTAACCATACATACTTATTTATTAATGGAAAGTATTTACACCTTTGTATTCTTACTAATAAGGAATGTGCAGTGTAACTTGGTGAATGGAGTTATTATTTTTAACTTTCTGCACATATGAAGATTATTCCTTGATATTTTGTTTCTTTGGCTTTTGTATGTTTAGCATATTTTCTAAAATATCCAGGTTTGCTTTTATGGGGAAAAGGTACGCAAATTTAAAAGGACTGCATAGAGGTGTGCTTGGGTGGCTTAGTGAGGAAGCAGCTGACCCTTGATTTTGGCTCAGAGTCCTGGGATCAAACCCCACATCTCATTCAGTGCTCAGGATGGAGGCTGCTGGAGATTTTCTCCTTCTCCCTCTACTCCTACCCCCACACATGCACGTGAACTCTCTCTCATTCTCTCTCAAATGAATAAATCTTTTAAAAAATAAAATAAAAAGTAATATGTGGAAAAAAATTAAAAGACTATGGAAGAAACAAGCAGGGTTGCTGGAGGGTAGAGGGGTGAAGGGATGGGGTAACTGGGTGATGGACATTAAAGAGGGCATGTGATAGAAGGAGCACTAGGTATTGTATAAGACTGATGAACCACTGACCTTTGCCTCTCAAACCAATAGTATATTATATGTTAGTTAATTAAATTTAAATAATAATTTAAAAAGGCTATGGAAAGTGGAAAGACTGTTGTTTAGGAGATAAGATTTTATTTTATTTATTTAAAAAATTTCATTTATTTATTTGACAGAGAGGCAGGCAGAGAGAGAGTCGGGGAAGCAAGCTCCCCACTGAGCAGAGAACCCAATGTGGGGCTCGATCCTAGGACCCTGGGATCATGACCTGAGCAGAAGGCAGAGGCTTAATCCACTGAGCCACCCAGGTGCCCCAGGAGATAAGATTTTAGTGCACTTTTATACTCACTTGCTTTCGTCACATGGGGCAAATTATTTAACTTCTCTGTGTTTCCTTATCTGTCAAATGAATTACCTCGAATTATGTTTCATTCTTCTGAATATGGCACACTCAGAAGATGGACAGGTGTGTTAGATTCAGTTCATATTCACTGTGATCTCCCTAACTCCTGGGGCCTGACACAGGATGAAATACCCTTTTTGCCTTGTTTTTTGTTCACGGTCTTTTTTGACTTCCTCCTTTTTCCTAGGGGTTTTTATCTTTTGTAAACCCAGTATGCTGGGTTTTGTTCGTAGATGAATTAAAAAAAAAAAGCTTTCAGCTAGCCACATTCCCTGAGGCACTTGTGTTAGGCTCCAGAACTGTTCTAGAGGAAAAAAGCACTGGTAGTGGTATAATTTGAGAAGTATAGTGCAGGTTATGAGCTTTAACTGTAAAGATCCTGTTTATTGTGACTTTAGTGTTAAAATATGTATTGCTAAAATGGAATTTATTGGAATATTGAAGGTGACATATGTTCTTTAAATGTGCGCATAAATAACTTGGTTTTTGGTGTGTTTTTTTTTACTCAGCTTCTTATGTTCATTTTACTTAAACTGTGGAATTGCCAAGTCTCAAGTTTTTGTGTGATTTAGATTCATCTGTTTCTTTCTAAAGGTGTTGTAATCCTGATTGTTTGACAAATGCCAGAATGTACCTCAGCAGCCTAGAACTAATTTTGCAAACCGTTTCTACAGAATTTAAGAAGATTTTGTTCACGTGTATGGCATAGAAGATGAATTCGTCCTCCTCCACGATGAATGAAGAACCTGATGCTCTCTCGGTAGTTAACCAGCTCCGGGATCTAGCAGCAGATCCATTAAATAGAAGAGCCATTGTCCAGGACCAGGGATGTCTCCCTGGCCTTATTTTGTTTATGGATCATCCCAACCCCCCAGTTGTCCACTCAGCTTTGCTCGTAAGTTGCCTTTAGTAATTTTAATCTCAGTGTGACAATTCTGCAATTCAGAAGAATTTGAAAAAGTGTTAGATGACATAAAAAATTAAAAGTGACTATAGAGTAAATAGTAGTAAGTCTGTATTTCTACATGTGCAGACTCGTGTGTGTCTATGTGTATGGTCCTTTGACATAAATGGTAGCATACTGCATGCATGGAATGTTCTGCGACTTCCTTTTTTCACTTACTAAGAAAGCTTGACGATTGTATCATTTCAGTATGGATAGACACATTAAAAAGATACTTGTTTTATTTTCATTCTATAATACTTTTGTTAAGGTCTGAAGCACATACAAGTCACTTATTTAAAGTGTGTCATTCATTGGTTTTTAGTGTATTCAGAGGTGCAGAGCCATCAGCGCAATCAATATTAGAACATTTTTATCACCTTAGAAAGAAACTCCTCTACCTGTTCCTTCCCAGCACCTCTTCCCCAAATAACCTTTTTATATCTCTGTATTTGCCTATCTGGGCGGCGGGGGAAAGCCTATATATTTTTTTACATAAATAGAATCATGTAATACGTGGTTTTTATGACTGGCTGCTTTCACTGAGCATGATGTTTTCAAGATTCATCTATATTGTCGCATGTCTAGTACTGCATTCCTTTTTATGGCCAAATAATGCTCCATTGTAGGGAAATGCCACTTTCTCTTTTTTTTTTTTTTTTTTTAAAGATTTTATTTATTTATTTGACAGCGATCACAAGTAGGCAGAGAGGTAGGCAGAGGAGGGGGGGGAGGAGGCTCCTCACTGAGCAGAGCCCGATGCGGGGCTCAATCCCAGGACCCTGAGATCATGACCTGAATGGAGGCAGAGGCCTTAACCCACGGAGCCACCCAGGCATCCCCCACATTCTCTTTATCCACCTGTCAGTAGATGGACAAAGCACTTGTTTTCATAGAAGATGGGAGGGAAAGATAAGGAAAGGAGAGGAAAAGAGAAAAACCTACAGGATCATAGCTAATAATGTAGAGGGAACTACCATGTTATGAGAAATGTGGGAACTAGAGGAAAGTGAAAGAACAATTTAAAGCAATCAGGCAACAGAATGTGGTAATTACACTAGGACAAATAATCTGGTTCTGTGAACAGAAAATGACATTAAAAAGAAAGACAGTTGGGGTGGAGGAGAGGAATAGTGGTAACTGTTGAAGATTAAAAGTGCCTTGGGAGACTTAATCAGCCAAGGGTAATGTGTGGCCCTGATTTGGTTCCTAATTTGAACAAATCAAACATAAACGTATCTTTTTAGATATTTTGAAATGAATATGGATTGGATTGTAGGTATTAAAGAGTCATTAATTCTTGTGCAGGGTATAAGTTTATGAAGAGTGTTGGGCTCCAGATAGGGACTTGGGCCTGAAGGTAGGGTGGCCTTTTTGGGTGGACTAGACTTGGCTCTATTTATCTAATTGTCAGAGAGAGCACAAGCACAGGCAGGGGTTGCAGGCAGAGGGAGAAACATGTTCCCTGCTGAGCAGGGAGCTTGAGGTGGGACTTGATCCCCAGACCCTGTTTCATCACCTGAGCTAAAACAAAGGCAGAGGCTTAACTGACAGAGCCACTCAGGCAGGCATCCTTGACTTGGCTCTATTTCGATTCAGAAGGCTAGGTGCTGCGGGAGTAGAAGTTATTTGAGGAGGCTCTTAGAGTTGTTACAGAAAATGGGACAGGTTGCTGAGGAGAATGGAGAGATTGTTACAGTAGTTTTGAAGGCCGGATTAGCTCGGTAACACTGAATTGATAAGTTACTTTAGGCTTACGAAACTCCTTTTCCACCTCCCTTGAGGCCCCTGTAGGCCCTGAGAGCCGAATAGTTGGATCTGGTCAGAGTTGATTCTTGGCCAGGTAAGTTGTCCAGAGGGTAGGCAAAGGAATTCAGGATTTTGACAAGAGTAGTTGAAATGATAGCCTGTAGATGCCAGGCTGGAAGGGAGGTCAAGTCATGGAGGGATGGAGCTAGAGAGAAAGGAGAGGAATAGTGGGTTCAAGGTCCCACTGAGTTTGAAGAGCATGTGTGGTGTTTTTATAATTCTGTTTTCTCGTCACTCTTATAAGCTGTACTCTTTTCTTTGGTTTCATATGATTTCTACCGAGACTGCTGTAATTCTTACCTTTGTTCCTCTCTATGTAAATCCTTTTTCTGTGTGTTTTTTTTTTTTTTTTTTTAATCACTGTTTTCCAGCAATGATTATGATGTGCTTTGGATGGATGGTTTTCTTTGTGTCTTATTTTTGTTGTTCTTCTCTTGGGATTTGTTGAGCTGCTTGGATATGTGTTTTTATAGTTTTCATTAATTTGGGGAAGTTGTCATCCACTATTTTTTCAGTTTTTTTTAAATGCCTCCTCACTCCTCTTCCAGTACTCCAGTTTCATGTATGTTAAATATTTCAAGTTGTCCTACAGGTCATTGTTGTGCTGCTCTAATTTTTTTTTTTTTTTTTCCTTTAAGTCTTCCACCCGCCTCTGATCTTCATCTTGGATAGTTTCTGTTGCTACATTTTAAGTTCACTGATCTTTTTTTCTGTGGTGTCCAATCTGTTCTTAACCCATCCAGTGTTGTTTTCATTTCAGATATTTTGTTTTTGTCTGTGAGAAGTTACATTTGGAGCTTTTTAATATCTTTCATTTCTTTCTTCACCATGCTCATGTTTTCCTACTCATCCTTGAGCATATGGAGCATATTTATAATAGCTGTTTTAAATGCCCTTATTTTCTAATTCCATCTCTGTCACATCTTGGTCTGTTTCTGTTGATATTTTTTTCCCCCTCCTGGTCAGATCCTTCCTCTCTTTTATTCTGCTCTGCAAATTCTAGTCACCTGGAGTGTTTTCTGACACCAGCCAATTCTTAGAGTCTGTTGGACACCAGCTGGGTGTCCAGCAATTGACTTCGGTTTAGTCTACCCACCTGGTGTTAAGTGTCAAACCCCCCACATGTAAGGCTCACTCCCACAAAACTGCAAGCACTTCAAAGGCCAGGTGCAAGTATCAGGTCACCCGAATTTCTGACTGAGCAGCTATAAATTGGGTGTTCCAGTGGCTCCCTCCTCAAGTTTGATAATTTACTAGAATGGCTCCAGATCTCAGGAAGCTACTTTACTTACATGTACTAGTTTATTATAAAGGGTACAAATGAATAGGTTTATAGGGCAAGGTCTGGAGGGGTCTTGAGTGCAGTACCATCTGTCCCTGTGGAGTTGAGGTGTGCCACACTCCTGGCAGATGGATGTATTCCCCACTTTGGAAACTCTGAATCTCCTTGTTCAAGTCTATAAAACATAGAGCTTAATCTCTAGCACCTCCCCATCTCCAGCCAGTGGGTGGGGCTAAAATTTCCCACCCTGTAATCTCTTGGTCTTTCTAGTGATCAGCCACATTCTGAGGCTATCTTGGAGCCTCAGCCCAGCTCACTTCTTTTAAATAAACCCTGGCGTGATCAAAAAGGCTGCCTTATGAGTAACAAAAGAAACTGCTGTCACTCTGAAAATTGCAAGGGCTTTAGGAGTTCTGCACCAGGAAATGGGCAAAGACCAAATATTTATTTTTATTAAACTGTACCACCCTAACCTCCCCACCTCTGATCTCTGCATCTGTAACTCAGCAAGACCACTGGGCTCCTTTTGGGTTCCTGTTCCCTGTGCTAGTCTGAACACTGCCTCCAGAGCAGTAAGGTGGGGGCAGTTACAGGGCCTTCCTCATCACTTCTCTCAGACGTCACAGTCCTATGCTGCCTCTTGTTCAGTATGTTTAAGACATATTGTCCTGTTTGTTAGTTTTTTGTGGAGGGAGGCAGTTCCCACAGCAGTTAATCCTTTATGGACTGAAATGAAAATCAGAGTTAGGAGAAGTTGCAGAAATTATGGGAGATTATAGACAGAGAGGGGTCTTTGAATTTGTGATTTGGTAGGTGGTACCATTTTCATTGGGAAATGTAGCATAGAGGACCAAGAGAAAATGTGAAGGTCAGTAGGCTGAGACAGCAGAGTTTTGGGTGGTGTAGTTCACAGACCTATCCCTGAGAAGCAGGTGCCAAAGTCTTTGGTAAATGATGAGTGATTAGGAATGAAATCCCTAAAGAATCAGAACGTGAAAGAAATACTTGCAAAATGTATTTTACATATTTGATCACACGTCAATAAAAAATAAATTTTAAAAAGTGTACTTTACATTTTAAGAAAAAAGCACCGTAGAAGTTAAGCTCCCAAAGTAGAAATTTGTGTGAGTTTATCTTTTGCTTTTCAGTAAAAAAAGGACATTTTAAAGGTGAAGTGTAAAACTAGAGGCAGTTCATTCTGTAAAGGTGGTTGTATGCTTTGCCTCTCTCAGCAGGTTATTTTAATTAATATGTAAAAAGCGTCTAGGGAAATGGTGGCTACTGGGACTACTCCCTGAAAGTAATAAATAGAATGTGGTTCCTTCTATCTCGGTCAAGGTGAAGTGGCGAAAAGGAAGCTGAAAAACAACCTAATTTTGACCTTGCAGATAAGTTAGGAGCCATCATTTCAAAGGGCTGATTCAGCCGCTTCCGCTCAAAGGATCATTTCTCCCCTAGGGGACTGCTCTGATTATCACAGTTAAAGAAGAGTTTCTAAACACTTCAAAACCAGTGGACTCTAAAAACAAAAACCTATTTTGCACTCTTTTTTCCTCCTGCAGTAGGTTAGTAACTGGTTTAGTTTTGAATAGTCTGGAGCTGTGAGTTAACCTGTCACTGTTTTTGCTGTAGGCTCTTCGGTACTTGGCAGAATGCCGTGCTAACAGAGAAAAGATGAAAGGAGAACTGGGGATGATGTTAAGTCTGCAAAATGTTATACAGAAGTAAGTACAATAAAGGGTGTCTCCTAAGGCAGTAGAAAAATGGATCTTCCTGTTAAATGGATGCTGATTGTCAGTATATCATTTTACTGAAATTCTTATTCTGATATGAAGGCATGCTTTTGTGGGTTGTATGTCCGGAAATGTTCTGATGGTCAGTGTTCTTGATTATTCTTAAACACTGATATTAATAGTACTTAGGAAAATGCTTAAATTTTATTTAAAATATTGATAAATATGGTACTTATGAATCATATCTTTAAAAAGAGAAAATCCTACCTTGTATGAAGTTCTGTGAGGTATATGTAAATTGATTTGCTAGCAAAGCAACACAAGTTACTAATCACATTTGAAAGTAGGCAGTACTGGGGCGTGCCTGGGTGGCTTAGTCGGTTAAGTGTCTGCCTTTGACTCAGGTCATGATCCCAGGGTACTGGGATCCAGTCCCACTTCAGGCTCCCTCCTCAGTGGAGAGCATGCTTCTACCTCTCCTGCTCCGCCTGCTTGTGTACACTCTCTCTGTCAAATAACTAAAATCTTTAAAAAAAATGTAATATTATAGTACCCTACAAAGTTCTTTTGCTACTTCATTCCTATCTTCTTGAAAAGAACCTTTGTTAAATATCATGGCAAAAAAGGGCTTTTGATAAGATTTTCCTGAGCATTATCAAGATATTTCTCAGAGACTTAAGAGCCATTTAATTTGAATTTTAGCAAATGGGTGGTTTTTAATTGTACCTTTCATCTTACTAAGATTTTCATATCCATTGTCTCATTTTGTTACAACTTTTGAAGTAGCTTTGACAGATGACAGTTTTATAGGTAAGAAAAAAGGAACATACAGAGTCAAAGTTAACTTATCTGTAGTCCTTGAGTTCTCTTGGCCCTGGGAATCCCTGGTTTTGTTCCTTTCTTACTGTTTGCTGATTTCCTGTTAGAAGGCTAGAAATTGAAGATTAGCTGTTCCAATATTTCTACTGTGTCTGGAAGCAAAAAAGCTGTGCTTCTTGAGGCTTAATCTTAGTTTACTGTGTATTTTGATCTCCTACTAGACTTGACTGCTTTTAAAACTATAATGAGTAGCCATTTAATTAATTAGTTAATTAATTTATGGTTACTTTGTTTATTTTGAGAGAGAGAGTGTGAGAGAGAGCACAAGCAGGCGGAGGGGCAGAGAGGCAGAGAGAGACAGGGAGAAGCAGACCCCCCACTGAGCAGGGGCTGGATCCCGGGACCTTAGCTGAAGGCAGGCACTTAACCAACTGAGCTACCCAGGTGCCCCTAATTTATCTCATTTAAAATAAATTGAGTAATTGTCAACATACCTGTCTTATATTGGCATTCTGTATCTTGCCATCTAATCAATGCAGGCACAGGTAGTATGGAGAGGTGTCCCAGTACATGATATACAGATGAGGTAATTTCTAACAACATAGAAGTTGTACCCTTGCGTGTGCCTCCATCCCCTTGCCCAACTGGGTCTTCTTTTTCTCTTTTCTAAGATTTTTATTCGTTTGTCAGAACACAAGCAAGGGGAACAGCAGATAGTGGGAGAAGCAGGCTCCCTACTGAGCAAGGAGCCTGACAGGACTCCATTCCAGGACCCTGGGATACTGACCTGAACCCTAGGCAGTCACTTAGTTCACTGAGCCACCCAGGCATCTACTTCTGTAGTGACTCCTTAAGGGGCATTGTAAAAACTTATATATATATATTCTTAAGATTTATTTATGTATGTATTAGAGAATGCATGCACATGAGCAGGGGGGAGGGGCAGAGACAGTGGGAGAAACAGACTTCCCAATGAACAGGATGCCTAATGTGGCCCTGGATCCCAGGATCATGATCTGAGCCGAAGGCAGACTGCTGAACCGAATGAACCACCCAGGCCCCCAAAACTTGTATTTATTTTAAAAGGCTCTTGGGTGGCATTTCAGAGTCCTCTGCATTCACCTTCAGTTTTTTGCAAGATCTGATGGATATTAGGAAGTCCAGCTGTCTGCAACTCCCCGCATCAGCCTCAGCCACAACTAGTTTCTCTGAGCTGCAAGGATGTGAAGTCTTGGTTTATAACCCTTCTCCCCACCTCGAAAGAACTCATTAGTTATAAGGGTCCTGTTGGAAAACCTAATCAAAAATGGCCTCTCTGGCATATCCGGTGCTTTTAGCTTGTGCATAAATTCATCATGGTAACCCCCACAGCATTCCAGGTTACGAAAGGGTCAAGAACAATAAATAGCTGCTGTAAATGACCAAAGGAAAGAAAACTTGCAGTTTCTTTGGCTTGAGTGCTCCCAAAAGTTCTGTACCTCCCAAACACTAACGGTTATATTGTATCAGCGAAGAATCATCTAAACCGACTTCCAAGGCAGTGTGCGTTTTTTTCTTAGTTTTCTTGGCTTCTGAATGAATTTTATTTTGTTAATCTTACTTTTTTCGGAATCTCTAAAATATTTGTTATGGGGTTAGCTGCCTGGTAAGATAGTACTATGGTGCCTTGATCTTTGATAGTGATAAGATAGAGACTGAAGTTTTTTTCTTGTTTTTATTTGATCAGTTAGGAATAAACAACAGAAAATGTTAACTGCCATCAGTTGTGTTAATTATTCCCTATGAGGTCTTCTTTGAGGTCAGTTTCACTAGTAAAAATTTGAATTCTAGCTCTTACTTGAGACAAAGACTTTCTTTGCCCTCAGTTTCCTTACTAAAGCCTACAGTGACAGCTTCAAAGTGATTGAGGACCAAATGGGATAATATATGTAGAAATGCTTTGTATATTTTATAACCTATAAAATATAAGGTTGCATTATTCTTGTTTCTAGTATGCTTTAGTGCTGTGTAGTTAACTATTTTTAACTGGCATATTAGCTCTGTTGGAAACAGTGAAAGGTTTAAGCATGGATGCTTCTATAGGGCTATTTTATTCATATGATGAACTTAAGATTGTTTATTCTTTTAACACATAGATGCTGAAGTTGAAAATATGTTGTACAGATTACTTAAGTATAAGAAATTAGATGAAAAACCTACTGTTGCTATTTTAAAATATACTTTAAATTTAAACTTCAAAGACTTAGAGCAAATTTTAGAGGTCCTGTAGATTAAATCTGTAAATCAATTTTTTAGTTTGGTTGGCTAAGGTTGTAGTATACATGTGTATGTGTGAGTATATATATATGTAAGTGAGAGAGACATCTATAGAATAGTAGACTTTTTTTTTTTTTTTTTTTTTAATTTTATTTATTTATTAGAGCACAAGCAGGGGGAAGGGCAGAGGCTTGGGGAGAAGCAGGCTCCCTGGGAGCCGGATGAGGGACTTGATCCCAGGACACTGAGATCATGACCTGAGCTAAGGCAGAGTCTTAACCCACTGAGCCACCCAGGCGCCCTTCTGATGTCAGATTTTAAAGGCTGAACTAAATCCGGGGCATTATTAATCAGCTCTTTCAATTTGCACTTGCCTAAGAAGATTAGGGCAATTAATACTTGTTTGATTATGCAGTCTCTCTTGCACTTATGGCCAAATAGACCATAAAAGTCTAGACTTTTTTAATGTTTTGAATGATAGTATTTGAACAGTAATTTTTTAAATTTTTATTATTTTTATTTTATTTTATTTTTTAAAGATTTTATTTATTTATTTGACAGACAGAGATCACAAGTAGGCAGAGAGGCAGGCAGAGAGAGAGAGAGAGAGAGGAGGAAGCAGGCTCCCTGCAGAGCAGAAAGTCCGATGTGGGGCTCGATCCCAGGACCCTGGGATTATGACCTGAGCCGAAGGCAGAGGCTTTAACCCACTGAGCCACCCAGGTGCCCCTATTTTTATTTTTTTTGAATATTTTATTTATTTGAGAGAGAGAAAGAGAGCACTAGCTGGTGAGGGCCAGAGGGAGAAGCAGCCTGCTCTCTGAGCAGGGAGCCTGATGCGGGGCTCAATCCTGGGACTCATGACCTGAGCCGAATGAAGACACTTAACCAACTGAGCCACCCAGGCACCCCAACAGTAATTTTTTTCTTTAGGACTAAGGTAGCTTTTAAGTGTGTAGATGGTCTTGGATTTTTCTTTTGGTTTTATTTATTTATTTATTTATTTTTAAAGATTTTATTTATTTGACAGAAATCATAAGTAGGTAGAGAGGCAAGCAGAGAGAGAGAGAGGAGGAAGCAGGCTCCCCACTGAGCAGAGAGCCCAATGCGGGACTCGATCCCAGGACCCTGAGATCATGACCTGAGCTGAAGGCAGAGGCTTAACCCACTGAGCCACTCAGGCGCCCTCTTTTGGTTTTAAAAGCATTTTTTGAAAATAAGGAAATAATTACTTATAATTGACTTATTGAACAGATAGTTCATAGTACACAGATCAAGAAATAACTTCATTTATAATTTAATTTGCTTATATGCTTTTGTAAATTTAATTTTGCCTGAGACAAAATTTTACTTAGTTTTAAGAGGGATCTGGGTCTGACCCAAGTGTTTATAGCAGCAGTGTCCACAGTAGCCAAACTATGGAAAGAACCTAGATGTCCATCAACAGATGAATGGATAAAGAAGATGTGGTGTACACACACACACACACACACACACACACACACACACACAATGGAATACTATGCAGCCATCAAAGAAACAAAATCTTGCCATTTGCAACTACTTGGATGGCACTAGAGGGTATTATGCTAAGCAAAATAAGTCAATCAGAGAAAGTTATCATATGATCTCTCTGATAGGAGGAATTTGAGAGTAAGGGCAGGGGTCGTGGGGTAGGGAGGGAAAAAATGAAACAAGGTGGGATCGGGAGGGAGACAAACCATAAGAGACTCTTAATCTCAGGAAACAAACTGAGGGTTGCTGGGCAGTGGGGGAGGGAGGAATGGGGTGGCTGGGTGATGGGCATTGGGGAGGGTATGTGCTATGGTGAGTGCTGTGAAATGTGTAAGCCTGATGATTCACAGACCTGTACCCTTGGGGCAAACAATACATTATAGGTTAATAAAAAAAATTAATATGGACATTGGGTAGGGTATGTGCTATGGTGAGTGCTGTGAAGTTTGTAAACGTGGAGATTCACAGACCTGTACCCCTGGGGGAAAAAATATATATATATATATATGTTTATAAAAAATAAAATTATTAAAAAAAAAAAAATTAAAAAGGAGGGATCTGGGTCTGTAAATAGATCCCTTACCTGTTTCTAAAGAAGGATAACAATAAAATTAGTCCTTTGCAGTACACCTGAAGACCATACTTAACAGTGAGAATATCACAATCATTTGATTATGTTCTCCTTTTAAAATCTTTCAGTTTTTAAGTAGATGGAAATGGAAAATCTTCCAGAAAGGAATTTATTCCAGTGTAAAAATGATGAAATTTTGGAATTATGAAATACTGAAGTTAAAAGTGGTGGTGGTGGGAGTATTTATTTCATAGAACTATTTTTCTAATCTATCATCCGTAATTGCTTTATCTAAGCAGTTTGTACCCTCTGTGACTCTATAGTTACATAGTTATGGTTTGTTGTAAATCCTTAAAATTCTTTTTTTTTTGGGGGGGGTGGTTTTGTTTATTTTTTTGTTTTGTTTTTTGATTTTTGGGTTTTTCGGTAAATCTTTCATTTTCTAGTTGAAAGTTAGTGCAGATAGCCCCTATAGCAGCACAGACAATTGTAAATGCACATGTATCATCTTGGCAAATTGTTTTTATGCATAAATGGAATTTTCTCCCTTCTTTTGCTGTTAATATGAAAACCACTGATACAGGTTTAGGAGAGAATTACACCCCAAAGTCCTAAGGAATCCAATAGATATAATAGACTATCTTCTCTTCTGTGAATCTGGAATGGCTCTAGCTCTATACTATCCTTCAGAGAATTGAGAAAATAATCATTTACATAGTTTTCTTGTAGAGCTAGTTTCTTTTGCAAATCTCAGTCAGAAAAGTTAGAGGAATGGTATGTCAGACATACGGTAGCAATAACTAACCAGGAAAAGGAGGGTTAGCTTAAGGAAACTGACAGCAGAGGCAGTCTTCCCTTTTTTCTGATACTTCTGTCCAGTATGGTAGTCATTAGCCACATGGAGCAGTTTAAATTTAAATTAATTAAAATTAAATTTAAAAACCAATTTTTCACTTGTACCAGCCATATTCTCAGTATTCAGTAGTCATGTAACTAGTTGACTACATTTCCATCATCTCTGAAAGTTAACGTTGGGCAATGCTACTGTTCTGAAATTTCTTTGCCTAACTATTTAAAAGGCTGTTTTTGTATTTTGATTACTTTTATCTTGTAGATTTTTTTTTTAAGTTCTAGTAGAAGAATTACAGAATCAAGGAGTATGGATTTTTTTGTGTATTCTTATCACAGTTAATTTTTTTCAAATAGTACCAATTATATTCTTAAAAGCAGTTTCCACTTCATTGAATTTTATCAAACATTGGATGGATTGCTACATTGCTTTTCTCCTTTTCTACCCTGTCCAGTTCTAGATCAGTTGAAAAAAATGTTAAACCCATCTGTGTTCTAAGACAGGGTTGGTATAAGATAGATGACATGGGTAGGTACATAAATTCATTGAAATTGATGTGAAAAATTTTTGTATTTGCATTTTTTGTGAAATATTCTCAAATTTTACACCAGATTCTCAAAGGCATTAGTAAGTAACCCTGTGTGGTTTAGAACTACACAGTGCTTATTCTGCAGAACAGGAAGATAATCATTTAATGTTACAGTGGTTTAGTATTTTTTGTCTCTACTGGTTCATCAGGAAACAGAGTTTTTGAAATAATGTATGCATTTAAAAATTTTTTATATGAAGCTCATTAGTTGAGTCTTTTATGTGTTGTGATGATTGTTTTTTTATTTGGTCCAAACACTTGAAAACAGTATTGGTGGTGGAAAAGGGGTAGCAAAGACATTGTTTTTTTCCTTCCTAAATTCATGAGTATCTCTAACTACTGTCCTCATACTCTTTACAGCTTGTGGTTGGCTGGTATTTAAAATATCTCAGAACTGCAGTGACCTTTTCAGTACTGTAAAACAGCTACCAGAAAAGTGCTGAGATATCTCCCCCTCAAAATAGTCTTTTTGATAGCTTCTTGCAATACACAGCCAAAGTCATTCGAAGTAATTGATGTCTGTGGTGAACAGTAGCCCAGAAAAGCAGTGGCTATAGTAAATTGAGTGCCCAGAAATTGCCAGATTAGTACCTCTGGACCTGAAGTTCTTTATAGATTTATAGTTTGAATATTGGAAATTGAGGTGGTCCTGCTCATTCAGTAAACAAATGGATTGTAAAAAGTTTAGTGAGGCCCTGTGGAGAGAATACATCCCCATTCTTGAAGAGAAAAAAAATAGAAAATTAAGATCAGTAATATAAGTACAAGTATTTTACTATATTTTAAAAGATTTTATTTATTTATTAAGATTTTATTTATTTATTTGACAGAGATCACAAGTAGGTAGAGAAGCAAGCAGAGGAAGGGAAGCAGGCTCCCTGCTGGTCAGAGAGCCCAACCCTGGGATCATGACCTAAGCCAAAGGCAGAGGCTCTAACCCACTGAGCCATCCAGGCGTCCCTATTTTATTTATTTTTTTAAAAGATTGTATTTATTTATTTGACAGAGATCACAGGTAGGCAGAGAGGCAGGCAGAGAGAGAGAGGTGGAAGCAGACTCCCCCCTGAGTAGAGAGCCCAGTGTGGGGCTGGATCCCAGGACCCTGGGATCATGACCTGAGCTGAAGGCAGAGGCTTTAACCCACTGAGCCACCTAGGCACCCCTATTTATTTATTTTAGAGAGAGAGTGTGATGGGGAGGGAGAGAGAATCTAGAGCAGACTCCACGCTGTGCACAGAACCCAACATGGGGTTTGTTCTCACAATCCTGAAATCATAACCTGGGCCAAAACCAAGAGTGGGATGCTTAACTGACTGAGCCACCCAGGTGCCCCAGCATAGTACTTTAAATGTAGAGGGAGGAATAGACTATTGGGGTGAGGAAGTTTCACAAGGAAAATGGTAATTGAGGTTGAGCCTTCAAGGGAGGAGTAAGTTTGAAAGCAAATGGTCTGGGTAAAGCTCTTTTGGTTGAGGAAAAGGGATTTATAAAAGGTATTCAAAAAAAGACAAAAGGTGCTGATGTTGGTAGAGCTGAACGGGAGTAGATTTAAAGGCCTCAAATGTATAAGGTTTGAACTTAATTGAGCTTATCTATAAGTGAAATGAGGGTTATTTTTTATACTTATGTGTATTTACTGTTTATTCAATTTAACTAACTAAAAAGCATTAGTTTGTACTGTCCAGTTTGGACACTTTCCACATATGGTGATTTATTAATTCAAAGTAAATAAAATCATTTTTTTAGTTGTGGTTGCTCAGGAGCCATATGTGGTGAGTGGACAGTGCAGCTGTAAAACATTTCTATCAATGCAGAAAGTCTTTGGACAGAATGACACTAGATGTTTATGTGAGGAGCTATGGTAGGATTTAAAAGTTCAAGAATGAAAACTTTTGTTTTAGTTGTGGTTTCCTGAGAGAGAGATATATATACACACACACACACACACACACACACACACATATATGTATGTACACACGCACACATATATGTATATATGTGTGTGCGTGTGTATATATATACATACATACACACACACTTTGTTAAAGATATGTAAAAAATGGAAATTAAGAAACAATCAGTTTGAATTTATTACAAAATCTCTTTATTGAAGTAACTTTTTTTTTTTTAAGATTTTATTTATTTATTTGACAAAGAGAGATCACAACTAGGCAGAGAGGCAGGTAGAGAGAGTGAGAGGGAAGCAGGCTCCCTGCTGAGCAGAGAGCCCATTGCGGGACTCAATCCCAGGACCCTGAGATCATGACCTGAGCCGAAGGCAGCAGCTTAACCCACTGAGCCACCCAGGCGCCCTATTGAAGTAACTCTTGACATGAATGATCCTTTCCTGATTTGTTTTCTCCCTTTGGATTTTTATGTTTTATACCTTCTTGAAGGAAAGGGTACTTTCAAATTATGTTAGTATATATTCAGGGATGGGTTATATCTTGATTCTTTTTTTTTTTTTTTTTAACTTTTTTTTTTAAATATTTTTTTTATTTATTTGACAGACAGAGATCACAAGTAAGCAGAGAGGCAGACAGAGAGAGGTGGAAGCAGGCTCCCTGCTGAGCAGAGAGCCCGATGTGGGGCTCGATCCCAGGACCCGGGGATCATGACCTGAGCCGAAGGCAGAGGCTTTAACCCACTGAGCCACCCAGGCGCCCCTATATCTTGATTCTTTTAGTTGATTGTTGAATTAATGATTTTGATTAAATATGCCGTTACACGGTTATAGTGATAAGTTTGGAATCTCAGTGAACCACAGATTTAAAATGAAATTAGAAGACCCTGGGGCACCTGGGTGCCTCAGTCCATTAAGTGTCACATTCTTGGTTTCAGCTCAGGTTCTTGGATTGAGCCCTGTGTTGGGCTCAACACTCAGCCAGGAGTCTGCTGGAGATTCTTTAGAACCCCTCCCTCTCTCTCTCCTCTGTTCCTCCTCACCCCCACCGCCCCATGCACATGTGCACATGCTCTCTCTGTATGTAATACATAAAATCTTAAAAAAAAAATGACATGAAATTAGAAGACCTTTTGAGCAGCTAGGTGCTTTTTCTATGTTGTTGGGTATTCTAGGATTCACTGGTATTTCCTTTCAGTTGAACAAAGCATCAGAATGAAGAAAACAAGGCTCTGCAAAGTCAAGGGATAAAATTACAGAATCAATAGAAGTGACAAGACAAATTAATTTGTGTGTGTTTCTTTTCAAGGACTACCACTCCAGGAGAAACAAAACTGCTGGCTTCTGAAATTTATGACATTCTTCAGTCTTCCAATATGGCAGATGGTGATAGTTTCAATGAAATGAATTCACGTAGAAGGAAAGCTCAGTTTTTTCTGGGAACTACAAACAAACGTGCCAAAACAGTGGTTTTGCACATAGATGGTCTTGATGATACGGTAAGACTTTTATAAACACTTGATTTATAAGATGGGGTGGGAAAGCGGTGGAACCACCTTCTGACATATCAGGAGGTCAGTAGTAACCTAAGGCTATATCACAGTGCCTGTCTCATTTACTTATCTCATCATGTAGGCATTTTATTACCTCACATCATCACAAGAGGAGGGGTAAGTATAGTACGATAAGGTATTTAGAGAGAAGGGCACCTGGGTGGCTCAGTGGGTTAAAGCCTCTGCTTTCCGGCTCCGGTCATGATCACAGGGTCCTGGGATAGAACCTTGCATTCGGCTCTGCTGGGTGGGGAGCCTGCTTCCTCCCCGCCCCCGACTATGCCTCTCTGCCTACTTGTGATCTCTCTCTGTCAAATAAGTAAATAAAATCTTAAAAAAAAGATTTTTTTTTTTTAAAGATTTTTTATTTTTATTTATTTGACAGAGAGAAATCACAAGTAGGCAGAGAGGCAGGCAGAGAGAGAGAGAGGAGGAAGCAGGCTCTCCGCTGAGCAGAAAGCCCGATGCGGGACTTGATCCCAGGACCCTGAGATCACGACCTGAGCCGAAGGCAGAGGCTTAACCCTCTGAGCCACCCAGGTGCCCAAAAAAAAAGATATTTAGAGAGAGAGATCACATTCATGTAACTTACTATAATGTATTGTTATATTTTATTTTAGTAATCATTATTATTAATCTCTTACTGAGCCTAATTTATAAATAAACTTACCATATGTATGTATAGAAAGAAAACATAGTCTGTATAGGTTTTGGTACTTTGTGCAGTTTTAGGCATCCCCTGGGGGGTCTTAGAATGAATCTCCCATGTATAAGATGGAGAAGAGGGACTACTGTAAATAGTTTCTTGAGTGACATTTGCCAGCAGTCTTGAAGAATAAGTCCCACGGGGGCATTTTGTCTTAAATGTGTCGGTTAATCAGAGGACGTAACAATTTTAAATATTTAGGTACTCAAATAGCACTAACAGCCAACTGAATCTATATCCATGGGAACACACTGTCCAGCAACAAGATAATATTCATTGTTTCCACATACATGTGGAATATTTACCAAGGTAGACCTTATTGTGGGCCATCAAAACAAGTATTAATAAATTTAAAAGACTTATGCAAACTATGTTCTCTTAGCACAAGGAAAAACAAATTAGAAATCAGAAACGAAGTTATTTGGAAACCAACCAAATATTTTGGAGACTAAATAATAGATTTCTAAAATAATCCACGAGTCAATGAAGAAATCAAGAGATTATAAAGCATTTTAAACTGAACAAAAATGAAAATGTAATATCAAAATTTGTGGGACGCTGGTAAAACAAATAATTAGAAGGTAATTCAATAGCACCAAATGCCTAAATATTTATATACAAGAAAGAAAAGTTCTCAGTGACTTAAGCTTCTACCTTAAGAAACTAGAAAAAGAAGAACAAATTAAATCAAAAGCAAAAGAAACAAAACAAATCAGTGCAATGAAAAGCAATAGAGAAAAAAACAAATCAAAAGCTGATTCTTTGACATAATCAATAAAATTGATTAACTTGTAGCCAAATAGATCAAGAATAAAAGAGAAGTCACAAATTATCAATACCAGAAATAAGAGAAAGAAAACATTGTTATTTAATGTCAGTGGTATTAAATACATTCCTAATGTTGTGTAACCTTCACCTCTATACTGCTTATGAATGTACAGTTTTTTTATCTTGTAAAACCTAAAACTCCATACTCATTACACAGTAACTCCCCTTTCATCCTTCCCCCCCAGCCCCTGGCAACCACTATTTTCTCTTTCTGTCTCTATGATTTAAAAAAAATCAGTCTCTTTTAAGATGTTTTAAAATAAAAAGTATTTTCTGTCCACCTACATTTTTGCCATTTCCAGGGCTCTTAATTCTTTTGTGTAGATTCTGGATTTTCGTCTGATTTCATTTTCCTTCTGTTAACATTTTTTACAGTAGAACAGGTCTGCTGGCAATGAATTCTTTCAGGTTTTTTTAAAAATTTATTTAATTTTTTTTTTTAAGACTTTTTTTTTTTTTTAAGATTTTATTTATTTATTTGTCAGAGAGAGACAGAGAGAGTGAGCGCAGGCAGACAGAGTGGCAGAGGGAGAAGCAGGCTCCCTGTGGAGCAAGGAGCCTGATGCGGGACTCGATCCCAGGACGCTGGGATCATGACCTGAGCCGAAGGCAGCCGCTTAACCAACTGAGCCACCCAGGCATCCCATGGTTTTTTTTTTTGTTTTTTTTTTTTAAGATTTTATTTATTTATTTGACAGAGAGAGATCACAAGTAGACAGAGAGGCAGGCAGAGAGAGAGAGAGAGGGAAGCAGGCTCCCTGCCGAGCAGAGAGCCCGATACGGGACTCAATCCCAGGACCCTGAGATCATGACCTGAGCCGAAGGCAGCGGCTTAACCCACTGAGCCACCCAGGAGCCCCTGTTTTGTTTTGTTTTTTTTTTTTTTTAATTGAAATAGAATTCACATACTATAAATACACCATTTTGAAGTGTTCAATTCCGTGCTTCTGGTATATTTACAGGGTTGTGCAGCCATCACCATAGTCTAATTCCAGAACATTTCATTACTCCAAAAGGAAGCCTCGTACCCATTAGCAGTCACAACCCCCTATCCCCCGATAATCCCTAATTTACTTTCTGTGTCTATGGATTTGCCTTCTCTGGACATTTCATATAAATGGAATCATAGGCTGTGTGACCTTTCATGCCTGGCTTTCACTTCAGCATAATGTTTCCAGGGTTCATCCCTATTGTAGCATGTATTGTCCATCTTTCCTCTTTGTAATATTCCATTGTATGGATGTACTATATTTTGGTTTATTCATTCTTCAATTGATGGATATTTGAGCTGTTTCCACTTTTGGGCTGTTATTAATTATTCTGCTGCGAACATTGGTGTATAAGTTTCGTGTGGATTTATGTCCTCATTTCTCTTGGAATTGTTCCTGGGGTAGAGTTGCTAGGATGATACATTAACCTTGCTTAGCTTTTGACCAACTTCCAGAGTGTTTTCTACAGAGTCTGCGCCATTTTACATTCTCATCAGCAACATATGAGGGGTCGCTTTCTCCATCTCTTTCTTGTTGGCATATATTTCTTTTGTTGTTGAGTAGCGGCCCTAGTGGATGTGTGTGAAGTAGTATCTTATTGTGGGCTTTTTTTTGCTGTTGTTTTTTTTTGTTTGTTTGTTTCTATTTTGTCGTGGCTTTGATATGGATTTCCTAGTGATTAATGATGTTGAGTATCTTTACATGTGCTTATTGGCCATTTTTCAGTGGTTGATGTAGTGTTTATTGTATGTATCTTCAATTTGTCACATATTTTCTCTTTTGGAGAAATGCCTATTGTCTATTTTTAAAGTGTTTATTTGTCTTTTCATTCTTGAGATGAATTCTAGTATCATGTATTAATTACACTGGTGGTTTTCATTTTTTTTTTTTAAGATTTTATTTATTTGTCAGAGAGAGAGCACAAGCAGGGGGAGCGGCAGGCAGAGGGAGAAGCAGGCTCCATGTGGCACTCGATCACAGGGTTCTGGGATCATGACCTGAGCCGAAGGCAGACACTTAACCGACTGAGCCACCCAGGCATCCTGGTGATTTTCATATTTTGAATCAACCTTTCACTCCTAGGATAAATCCCAGTCGGTCATGCTATATAATCTTTTTAATATGCTGCTGGATTCAGCTTGCTGGGATTTTGTTGAGGTATTTTGTGTGTGTATTCCTACAAGGCATTTTATAGTTTTATTTACAGTTTTCTTTCATGTGGTATCTTTTTCTGGTTTTGGTATCAGGGTAATAACTGACTACATAAAATGAGCTGCGAAGTGTCTGGATGAGTTTGTGAAAGATTGGTGTTGATTATTCCATAAACATTTGGTAGAGTTAACCAGTGAAACTGTTTGGTCCAGAGCTATTTTCTGGTTTTAATTTAATCTCCTTACTTATTACAGGTCTATTTTTCCTTCCTGGAGTCAGTTTTGATAATTTTGTTTTTCTGGGAATTTGTCCATTTCATTGAGATTCTCTAAGGTGTTGGCATAATGTATTGTTGATAGTATTTGCTTATAATCCTTTTGTTTCAGTCAGATTATTTTTTTAAAGATTTTATTTATTTATTTGACAGACAGAGATCACAAGTAGGCAGAGAGGCAGACAGAGAGAGATGGTGGGGAAGCAGTCTTCACTGCTGAGCAGAGAGCCTGATGCAGGGCTCGATCCCAGAACCCTGAGATCATGACGTGAGCCAAAAGCAGAGGCTTAACCCACTGAAGCCACCCAGGCACTTCTGTTTTAGTCAGATTTGCCTTAATGTCCTTTTATTCCTGATTTTAGTAATTTGAGTCTTCCTTTTCTGTTTTTCTTAGTTTAGCTAAAAGGATTCTCAGTTTTTTGGTTTTTTTTTTTTAAAGATTTATTTATTTATTTGATAGAGAGATCACAGATAGGCAGAGCGCAGGCAGAGAGAGAGGAGGAAGCAGGCTCCCTACGGAGCAGAGAGCCCGATGTAGGGCTTGATCCCAGGACCCTGGGATCATGACCTGAGCCAAAGGCAGAGGCTTAACCCACTGAGCCACCCAGGCGCCCCCAAAGGATTATCAGTTTTGTTGATCTTTTCAAAGAACCAACTTTTTAGTTTTAATTTTTTTTTTCTATTTTTTCCCTACCATAATCTTTATTATTTCCTATCCTCTGCTTTCTCTGGGCTTTCTTAAATTAGAAATTAAGGTTCCTGTCTTGAGATTTTCTTCTATTTTAATGTAGTTTTTATAGCTTATAAATTTTTGTTTAACCACTGCTTTCTCTGTATGCATCAGATTTGGTATGTGGTGTTTTCATTTTATTTCTCTCAAAGTATTTTCTAATTTTTCTTGTGATTTCTTTGACACATTGGTTCTTATTTAGGAGTTTGTTTTATTTTCATATATTTCTGAATTTTCCAAATTTCCTTCTGTTATTAATTTCTAATTTCATTTCATGTGATTTGACAACATTGGATGATTTCAGTCCTTTTCAGTATATACAGGCTTCTTTCATGGCCTACCAGGGTCTATGGTCTATCCTGGAGAATGTTCCACATGTCCCTGAGAATCTGTACACTGTTGTTTGGAATATCATAAGTGTTGAAATCTGTTGAATTCTGTTGCTTTATGCTGTTGTTTAAGTCTTATTTTCCTTGCTCATTTTCTGTCTACCTAGTCTGTTCATTTTTGAAAGTCAGATATTGAAGTCTCTAACTCCTTTGTATGTCTGGTAGAGTCCTTTTTTTTTTTTTTTGGAAAGATTATTATCAGTGGGTGTGAAAGTCTAAGTGACAGAATTTTTTTTTTCTTTTTCTTTTCTCTTTCCTTTTTTTTGAACACCACACTTGAAGACGTTGCTCCACTGTCGTCTTCCTTGCATTGTTTCTATTCGGGATTCTGGTTTTCTTATTTGTGTTCTTCTCTATGTTATACATCTTATTTTTCTCACTCTGCCTACTTCTAAGAGTTTCTCTTTCATCACTGCTTTTGATCTGTTTGTTTATAATGTTCCTTGGTATAATTTTCTTCATGTTTATTCAGCTTCTTGGATCTCTGGGTTTATCATATACAGCAAATTTGGACAATTTTTTTCTATTATTTCTTCAAATATTGTTTCTGTCCCCCTTCCCCTTGGTCTTTCAGAGATTCCTATTATACATATTCAGCCATGTGAAGTCTCACAGCTTGCTGATACTCTACTCATTTTTTTTTCTTTTTTCTTCAGTTCTTCCCCTCTCATTTTAGTTTCTGTTGATATTTGCTAAATTTTTCCTTTGCAAGTGTTTAACTTCCTGTTAATCTCATTCACTGTGTTTTTTTTTTCTTTACCATTGACACTTTTATTATTTATTTTATTTTTTTATTTTAAGTAGGTTCCATGCCCAACGTGGGGCTTGAACTCATGACCCTAAAATCAGGAGTTACATGCTTTGCAGCCAGGCGCCCCTTATTTTATTTCTAGAAGTTTGATTTGGGTCTTTTTTATATCTCCTTAACATGTTTATTTATACTTTATCTATTTGAACTTACAGAAGATGGTTGGAATAATTTTAATCTCCTTACTAATTTAATCATCTGTGTTTTTTTGAGTCTATTTTTATAGATTGATTTTGTAATTATAGATTGGCTTTTAAGAGCCTGATTCTTAACAGACTGAGCCACCCAGGCACCTCTGTAGTTACTTTTCAATCCATTTTTGCTTTGGATCCCATGTTTGAGACTTGATACCCAAGTGGATATGTCTGATAGCAAATGAAAATAAAGTCCTCTTGGAGATACACACCTGTGTTCTCCATGGTCATAACGGTTGAAGTGATGGGAATAGTCTGCTGAGAGATGAAGTTGAAAAAAAATCACTTAGTTTTACGCACTGGACCTTGGTGACAAGATGAGACAGATAGAATAACCAGTGGTCTAAGTAGTGTATTACTAGGAATCAAAAAAACATTGAAAGAGATATGTTTTATTGTGTTGTCAGTGGAAAATGACAACTTGAGAGAGGGTATTAGCCCTTGGGAATGCAGTGGTAACCATTGAGAATGCAATAAATGAAGGAGGTGGTGATATTTATAAATACCAAGTGCTTTAAAAAGTAGTGAGTCATACACTGAACACTAATTCTAACATCAGTCTATCAGAATTATCCTCAGAGACTTTTAAGTTAGAGCACAGGTCAGCAAACCTTTTCTTTAAAGGGCCAGATAGTAAATATTTTAGGTTTTGCAGGGCATATGGTCTTTCTTAAATCTGTTAACTCTGCTATAGTATGACATTAGCCTCAGACTAATGTCAAATGCCTGCAGCTGTGTTCCAGAAAAAACAGTTG